CAAGGAGAGGAGCAAACGGGGAGGTAGGGGGTAGGCGTTTGTGGGGGGAGAAGGGTGCAACAATGAATGAATGGAATTCCAAAATCTCGGTAGATGTTAATGGAAATGAAAAATAAACAAACTAAATTAATTTAAAAAAAAAGAAAAAACCCACAAAAAACAGTGACTATAAGTGATGTTAGGGGGAATAAGTAAGCTCCCTGAGCTGAAGAGGTTTTGTTAGTTGTCTCAGCATTATTTAAAAAACCAAAAAAATCAAAGCTCAGAAAAATATTAAGTAGAATCTTCTCAAAAACACTAATAATGCTCTTGGGTAATTCTTTTTATCATCTGCAATAAGGGAGTTCTAATATGATTTCATTTTTCAAGTGTTTCTTCACACAGACAACAGAACAGAGTTGCTGATGTTTTGTCTTCCGCAGGTGAATTTTCACGACAGCTGGATGAGAAAGATGCTCTTGTTTCTCAGCTCTCACGAGGTAAACAAGCTTTCACACAACAGATTGAGGAGTTGAAAAGGCAGCTAGAAGAGGAGTCGAAGGTAAGGGTTCTCTCATTGGCACTTTCTGTAGCTTAAACTGAACAGCATGAGCACCACTGAACTTCGGATGGGCAGGCCCACTGAGCAGAGGGTAAATTAATCCACACGCATTCTGATTGATCTAGGCTAAGAACGCCCTGGCTCACGCTCTACAATCAGCTCGCCATGACTGTGACCTGCTGCGGGAACAGTATGAGGAGGAGCAGGAAGCCAAGGCCGAGCTGCAGAGGGCAATGTCCAAAGCCAACAGTGAGGTTGCCCAGTGGAGGACCAAATATGAGACGGACGCCATCCAGCGCACGGAGGAGCTGGAGGAGGCCAAGTATGGACTTCTAGTGAGGGGGAGGAAAGAAAGAAAAGTCAAATAAACCAGTCAAGTCAAATTAGAGAGGAATGACAATACTCTCGACATAAGTAAGATTGTACAGTAGCAGATTGCAGTGTAAGACTTCTTCTCACAGCCCGGCGTACCCAGTAGAGAAGGCGACCAGATGAGAGCATCCCCCGCGTTGTGCTTCACTGCACAGTAAATATCTTCCCATCGAAATAAATTAGTAATTGTGAACATAATTCTAGTGAATTATGCTTCTATATTAGGGGATAGTTAGGGGGGAAATGGAGACATTGAGACTCTCTGGCCTACTGTTATGAATATTTTAATGAACAATAACCATTTTTTTCCCTCATTAGAAAAATAGAAGAAGTTCCAAACGGATTATCATACTTTATCATCACATAATTAACAATATCAATGGACTCATTCAAAGTGTGTGATTACACGAATTGTCTGTGGGATGAAACTCATGAGAGTTATACCTGGGAGGAAAAGAGCTACATAGTCCCATGAAGAAAGTGTTCTTAAATTGAACTCATTTCTGCAGTTATTAGAATGAAACAGAGGAAGGGTGGAAAGCACTTGGGGAGAATATATCCTAGATAAGACTTTACAATGATAAAAGCAGTAGTGAATAAGGTTTTTGTGATAGAATAAGATATTTGTGAAGTATAATAATGGAATAGTATTTATTGTCTGGGATTAATGAGCCCCTAAAGTTACTGAAAAATTGCATGACCTTGAACATGTCACTCTGGGTTGTAGTTATATCATTTTTAAGGTGAAGAAGTCTATGGAAGATATTTAAAGATCCTTTCAATATTAATATTCTTTGATTATCTGTCTCCTATTCATGGTTACCAATTTTTCTCAACTTTAGATTGCTCACTCAGTTTAAGGTCTCTTTTTCTCTGTCATACACACATAGACACATGCACACACATACAATGGCCTCAACAATATGTCTTTCAACTCCTCCAATAAAAATGGGAGCTCTCATAGCCTAGTGGTAAGAAGCTACACTGCAACCACAAAGGCACATGGTTCGAGTCCACCATCTGCTCCACAGGAGAAAAATGAGCAGTCTCCTCCTGTGCTATTAACTGCCTCTGAAAACTTGCTGGAGGGTCAGCTATGGATCAGTCCTAACTTGATGGTACATAACAATAACAACATAATAACAAAGTCACTGTAGAGAAAAAAGAAATTCTACAAGAGATGATTATAAAGAATATTTTTCAAAAGCTCAACATTGAGGAAACTATATCTTAGTCAACAGCTTTATAATATTTCCTATGGTGACTTTTAGTGAGTTCTTGGTCACTCCATTAACTCTTCAGGAAGAAGCTGGCCCAGCGTCTGCAGGATGCTGAGGAGCATGTAGAAGCTGTGAATTCCAAATGTGCTTCCCTTGAAAAGACGAAGCAGCGGCTGCAGAACGAAGTGGAGGACCTCATGATTGATGTGGAAAGATCGAATGCTGCCTGCGCAGCTCTGGACAAGAAGCAAAGGAACTTCGACAAGGTGACCCACACTAACTCTCCCCCTTGAGAGAAACTGGCATGACTCTCAGGGGAACTATGTTTGCTTTGGGAGGTTTTTGGCTACTGAGGCTCATATCCACGTGCTTTCAGGTTCTGGCAGAATGGAAACAGAAGTATGAGGAAACCCAGGCTGAACTGGAGGCCTCCCAGAAGGAGTCTCGCTCTCTCAGCACTGAGCTCTTCAAGGTGAAGAACGCCTATGAGGAATCCCTGGACCAACTTGAAACCCTGAAGAGAGAAAACAAGAACTTACAACGTGAGTCTCTTCGATTTTAAAAATTGTTGATAGGTGAGTTTTCTGGTTCCAAAAATCCTCAACTGATTTTTTTTATATTTACATATTAAAACCACAGAGGAGATTTCAGACCTGACTGAACAAATTGCAGAGGGAGGCAAGCATATTCATGAACTGGAGAAAGTCAAGAAACAGATTGACCAAGAGAAGAGTGAACTGCAGGCTGCTCTGGAGGAAGCTGAGGTACCTGTTCCATTTATTCACCTGCTTACCAGCAAGAAACCGAAAAATGAGTAACGGCTGAGACACATTATGCTGAAAACTTTAAGAAAAAACACACAAAAATAAGAAATACTAAATGATTCTTTGGAAATGTAAAACAGATAGACCAAATTAAGATGCATGGATGGCTGCTGGTCTTTTTAAAATGCTTCCTTAATGAAGTCACCCTAGCGTGAAAAACCAAATGTTTTTCAGGTAACGTAAATGTTTATTTACTTCTATTCAGGCATCCCTTGAGCATGAGGAAGGCAAAATTCTTCGCATCCAGCTTGAGTTAAATCAGGTGAAATCTGAGATTGACCGGAAAATTGCTGAGAAGGATGAAGAAATCGATCAGCTGAAGAGGAACCACCTTCGAGTCGTGGAGTCCATGCAGAGCACGCTGGATGCTGAGATCAGGAGCAGGAACGATGCCCTGAGGATCAAGAAGAAGATGGAGGGAGACCTCAATGAGATGGAAATCCAGCTGAACCACGCCAACCGCCAGGCTGCGGAGGCAATTAGGAATCTTAGGAACACACAAGGAATCCTGAAGGTATGCTGGGCAAATACATATGATGTCATCCTGTCCAAATGCCACTGTATAACTCATTTTAATCTTTTAAGAATATGTTTTCTTTGAATCAACACTGTCAAACACCTTGTGAAGTGATTATTTAGCTAACATGACATTTAATCACTTTATTTGAATTTCATTTGTTTAATTATAGAAGAAACTGATAAGCTAGCTTATACTTAAGGATTTAGCTATTTGGTATATTTAGATGTAGTATCTTCCTATGATTCACTGTCTAAAGTAATATATTGTGAGTAAAACTATTACCAGAGACTAACAGATTGTTTCTATGTAGTCATTCTGAGATTACTGAGACCAACATAAATCTATGACCCTAAATTTGTATTCACTTTAATTGGAACATGAATAAGAGTATTGTCTCTTTCTGCGTAGGACACTCAGTTACATCTGGATGATGCCATCAGAGGCCAAGATGACCTGAAAGAGCAGTTGGCAATGGTTGAGCGCAGAGCTAACCTGATGCAGGCTGAGATTGAAGAGCTCAGAGCATCCCTGGAACAGACTGAGAGGAGCAGGAAGGTGGCAGAACAAGAACTTCTGGACGCCAGTGAGCGTGTGCAACTCCTACACACCCAGGTGAGGCCCATGATTATTGTGTAGTAAATATACTCTCTGAAGCTGAAGACAACTTGAAAGGATAAGATAGTTATAAAGCAACAAACAATCTTGATAATGGCCCTATCCTAGAGCTCTGGAAAAAAAAAGTAGTGATGCAAGTATGTATTAGGGCCTTGCCAAGATTATCTATCTATCTATCTATCTATCTATCTATCTATCTATCTATCTATCTATCATCTATCTATCCCCCCACACACACATACAGGACTGGTATAATTCTGTTGATAAAAGTAATCTAGAGTTCTAGAAACGTCTAAATGAGCCACAGAATACAACCTACTCATAATAATCATACACATACTCAACATCCCAGATATTTTGTACTTTGCAACCCAAAGCTTTAGGCACATGAAATGTGTAAGAATAACCTGCCAAATAATGTATTAGTTATGCACATAATCATAATGATAACAGAAAAATACAAGCTTCCAAAAGACGACAAACTAACAGACTGGCAGTAGCCTGACCCAAGCCATGGTGTTTTCAATTGTTTCATATGAATGTGAAAGTTGAACAATGAATAAGCAAGAATGAAGAACTGATGCATTTGGATTATAGTACTGTGGAAGAACACTGACTATACCATGGACTTGCTAAAAAATAAATCAGTCTTGGAGGAAGGGCAGCCAGAAAGCTGCAAAGAATGTGAAGGTGAGGCAGGAGAAGGCACTGTTTTCATCCTGCCGTGCGTGCGGCTGCATCTACCCGCAACAACATGCACAACATCATGCTGCCTTCACGGGCTCTACGGAGAAATTCCAAGTTCAGGTTCATGGAAGCAATCACTGTTGTTGAGTTGGTATTTGTTATTTATAAAAGATTTATTCAATAAATGGTGGTATCCTCACAAAGGCTAATAGGCAGCCATCATTGATAAGCATTGAGTGTGTCAGGAAAGATGGTCACAATTTAGTAAGTGAAACAAAGTATATTAAAAATAATGTAGATGACATAATCTTTTGTGTTAAAAATATCCAAGAAATATCCAGAAAAGCAAACAAAAGTGCTCTCAATGATAATCTCTGCAGAGCAAAGGTACAGTGTTCTTCTCTTTTTGGTAATACGCATGTTTGTTTTTATAGATAAACAGACAATATTATATAATTTTTAAACATGGCAATAGATGCAAATAGCCACTATGGAAATTGTTAAAATCACACTGTATACATAATTTTAAAATAAAATTAAACTATATGCTTTTTTCTTACTCATTTGTTATTAGTGTCTCTGAACTGAACAACTATTGCAAATACTGACAGCTTTCTAAATACATAAAGGATTCTTGGTTCATATACAAGGTCCACAGTAATAATGTTATTCATGCACTTAAAATATGGAGCCTAACAGTGAAAATGAACAACTGGAAAGTAAAAATCCATTTTCCATAAATTAATGTGATGTTATGTGGCACCACCCTTTTAGTTTTTTAAATTATGCTTTATGCTTACAAGCAGTCACTGACACTAAACAAATATGTTTATTTAGTATGCAAGTACAATTTTACCTGAAAACATTTAGAAGTGTAACAGATATGGGGAGAAAGAAGAGAAGATTCAGATCAGAATGAACTTCTGATTTGGTTTTCACTCTGAACATTTGCTATGACCATGCACCTGTGTATCCTCGTCAAAAATGATAATGTAAATGTTTATCACATAATTAAATGTACTGTTCTTTTTTTATATTTATCTGAAACAGAACACCAGCCTGATTAACACCAAGAAGAAGCTCGAGACAGACATTTCCCAGATCCAGGGAGAAATGGAGGACATTGTCCAGGAAGCCCGCAACGCGGAAGAGAAGGCCAAGAAGGCCATCACTGACGTGAGTGAAAAGCAACACAGTGGTCGTCCATCTTGAGCGCTGACAGGCCACTTCAGCTCCTATAACAATTTTGTTCTGCTGCTCACCAGGCCGCCATGATGGCCGAGGAGCTGAAGAAGGAACAGGACACCAGCGCCCACCTGGAGAGGATGAAGAAGAACATGGAACAGACCGTGAAGGACCTGCAGCACCGTCTGGACGAGGCTGAGCAGCTGGCCCTGAAGGGCGGCAAGAAGCAGATACAGAAACTGGAGGCCAGAGTAGGTCTCCACTACTTCATTCGCCTGCTAATCTTTTCATATGGCTAGTTGTGGTCAGATTGCTAAACATCTTTGTTCTCTTCAAGGTAAGGGAGCTTGAAAATGAGGTTGAAAATGAACAGAAGCGCAACGTGGAGGCTGTCAAGGGTCTCCGCAAGCATGAGAGACGAGTGAAGGAGCTCACTTACCAGGTGATCAGCCGTTTCCTGTTTCCCAGGCCTACTGCTTTTAAGAAGATAAAAATAATGAGTTTCTTTGAAAAATAATGACACTCTTTATTTGCTCTCTCCCTCTCAGACTGAGGAGGACCGCAAGAATGTTATCAGATTGCAGGACTTAGTGGACAAGCTACAGACCAAAGTCAAAGCTTACAAGAGACAAGCTGAAGAGGCTGTGAGTATCCGCATAAGTGGGAAAAGTTCCTGTATAGTCCAGGCTCTTTAGTGCCCAAAGTTTACAGAATTTTAAGGAGCCTTCTCTAAGGCAAAGAACACAAATTATTAACATAGAATTGGGTGTAAAATTAGTATTTCTTTAGAATGAGGAAATAAAATCCTCACAAATTACTAACGCCTTAGAGATTTGGGTTCATTTCTTCTGACACCTTGTTAAGCAATTTTCCAGACTTGTTAACATAATGCTCCTTGGCTGCAACCCCCTTTCCTTCTTATCTAGAATACTCTACAACTCCTTAGCAATCCCCAGCCTACATGCAAGGCTGTACAAATGAGGGCTCGAAAGCCTAACCCTCTTTGAATTAATAATAAACCCATCTCAGGAAGGACTGATCTCCCCCCCCCCCATTTGACTGAGGTTATCATTCTCATCCTGTTAATTCGACAACTTTCTTTAAATTCTCTGCAGCCAATACCACTGCTACACTTACTTTATAGAGTTTCTTCCAGAAAAATAATATTGATTCAGATCTCTGATACTTTGATCTTCCTGTTGTTCTTGTAGCATTTTAAGCTTGCCAGGAAGAGAGAGTTGGTGGGGAGTGGTAGGCCCACACATTTATACAAATGAGTTTGTGGAATGTCTCCAAAAGAGTATGTCACCAAATAAAAGAACTTCTGGCTTTCTCATCCTGGAAGCAAATATTATATCTAACATAATAACAAAAACAGTAAGAATCAGAGGATATAACTTTCTTCATCTCTTGAATGTATTTCTGATTATAGGAAGAACAATCCAACGTCAACCTCTCCAAGTTCCGCAAGATCCAGCACGAGCTGGAGGAGGCCGAGGAGCGGGCTGACATCGCCGAGTCCCAGGTCAACAAGCTGCGGGTGAAGAGCCGGGAGGTTCACACCAAAGTCATAAGTGAAGAGTAAGGCGTCCTAATGCTGCAAGGTGACCAAAGACATGCACACAATGTGAAGTTCGTGGTCACTCTCCTATAATATCTAGGAAATAAAATCTGCAAATAATTTTGCAATCTAGAAATATACTGTCTCTTAATTATAAACTCTATTAGAAGAGTGGGAGAATGATGCAGGAGTCTTTTTCAGCAACAAATTCCATGGGGTAGTCTATCTGTCTGATAGGTCATCTACCAATTAGAGTCAACTTCACAATCACAAATTTGAGATTTTCTTAGACTCAGTTCATCTATCCAGCACATGTTGCATTCCTACTGTGTGCTACTAGAGATGATAGCAAAAATTAGTGTAGGCACAGAATAACGAATGTGCTCTGTAAACTTTCAGTCACACAGCACAATAAAAATGTATTTTTAAAAAGATGAATAGAGATATTGAACCAAGTCTAGCAGAGGTCAGATGAAGTGAGTCCTCTGAGGGGATGCAAAGTTGATTAGTGTACCCTCAGTTCCACTGAATTCCATTTCACTGAATGCCAACTACGTGTCTGATGTCTGATAGAGAAATAAGAACCACAAATATGATGATCATTCCTGTCTTCAAGAAGATCAATGTAGGATTGTTGTTGTGTACTGTCAAGTCAGAATCAACCCACAGCTGACCCTCTGGTGGGTTTTAAGAGGCAGAAAATCACATGGGAGGCAATTTCCCATTTTCCTCCTATGCAGCAGCTGGTGGATTCGAACAGTGTGCCTCTGAGACTACAGTGCAGCATCTTACCACTAGGACACTAGAGCTCCCTCAGTGTAGAGGAAGAGACAGCAATTATGTCCACTTATATTAGTCTCTAAAAAGAGACTGAACTAGCACCTAAAAAGATAGCAAGAGAGCTATCAGATGAAAGAAGAAGGCATGAGCATTCCAAGAAAATAGGTCTGAAACAGCTGAGTGGCTTAAGCACAGATTACATGAGCGGAGGGAGGTCAGAGGTGGAAGCTAATGGCTCTGAGGCTCACTCATTACCACTGAGTCAGTTCATCAGTCCAGGGGACCCTCCATGGGGTTTCTAAGGTTGTAGATCACAGAGAAAGAGAATGCTAACCTTTCTCCTACAGAGCTCCTGGTGGATTCAACCATAGAAAGGCATTGCCTTTGAGTTATTAATGCAATTCTCTATGGGCTACACCACCAGTACTCATATCCAGTGTTAGGAATTAGGATATGCATCAGATTGATTACACTTTATGAAAAGCAGTACCCAGGGGGATAGAATGGACAGGAAAGACCAGTGTAGAAGGCCAATGAAAAATGGTTCAAATTAGAAATGATGGTGATGGAAAAATAAAAAAGGCAGAATAAAAGCTGAGTTCTAACACTGGCATTAAGAGGCTGAGAAAACACAGGCAAAGCAAAACCATTTCATAGAGCTCAAACCCCAGTTACTTTGTCTTTATGCATTTTATTTGGGGAGAGGATGGACTTCTTCTCAACTTTCTCCCTCTTCAAGAAAAAAGATGGAACTTTTTAGAGAATTCTTCCTGTTGTCTTCTAGTTCCTACGTATTTTTCTGCTTACCAAGGAGCCTTATTTTTCTTAGTTCTTAGCATATTTTAAGGAAGAGTTAGAAAGGGAGTAAAATATGATTGAAATTTTAGCATGGCCATTGTCAAAGGGTTTTTGAGTTGTTTTCCCCTTTTGAAAACCTTTTCTTAAAGCTTACAATTTGGCTTCACTGTGTGAAAATTTGGAAAAAAAAAAAAGAAAATAGTGGAACACTGGTTCATTCTTTTAAAGCTGCAGGAATCACTTCTAATGAGGAGGCTGCTTTGGAAAAACCTTTTTTCAGCATGAGAATGCTAATCAGTAATGAGATGCCTGTCATGAGAACAGAATTTCTAAAGGACAGAAAATAATTATGAGCCATATTCCGCCTAGGCCTTGATGAAGACTAATGAAACATTCCTGCTGACAGTAGGCATTTACTATCAAATTTTAATTAAATGATGTAGGGTTAACCTATTGACCCCAATAGCACCAGGTAATTGCTTATTATTTTACCTCCTAACTATTTAAACACCTGGTTGTGTTAGAGAGTTGAGAGTGGATTCAGTTATATATAGGTCAATTATTCATGGTTTCCTGACTAAAGTAGTAATGATTTAGATCAAAACTATTCTGGTTAGTATATATTTCTTATCTCCTCATAGTTTAGTTGATGTATTGACTTTTAGCTGCCTATTGTAACAAAGATGCTACATATTATAATCTAGGACTGCTTTAAAGACCTCTTACATTTTCTCTTAGTTGAGATGAGGGGTCACAAAGGTTTGAGAATTATTTATAGCCTATTATTCTGGATATGATAACCTACACAGGGTGAATGCAAGGAGGCATTCTGCTAGGGCCCTGGCAGACTAAGTCTGATTGCTCCCTGATCATTGTGAGGAAGGTAAAAAGGCAGGAATGGCAACAACTGGAAGACTACACAATGTAGCAAAGGGCAAGCTTTTTTTTAACACACACAAGGAGTGAGGCAGCGATTGACATGGCCTGGTGATTGTGGTAATCAACAGGCATCATGACAGAAGAAAAATCTCCTACCAAATTATCACAAGGCAGTTTCTCCTCTGGGCTCTGTGAATCTAAGGAACAGAGCTACTGAACAACAAATTGAGAGATCATCAATGCAATGATATGTAAAAATATGACTCCTTTTCCTCTCAACTCTATTCACAATGTTTAAGTAATCTAGCATATAGCAAGAACAAAAAGAATACCAACATTCCCAACTTTAAAACACTACCTCCTCTTCTATCTTCAACCATCCTGTATCTAACTAAGAGTCAGAATTGACACGATGACATTGGGTGTTTGATTTTTTAGTTATCTGACTTCTAAATCTCCTACTACTAGAAATGCAATCCTTGGGTTCCCAGAGGAATTTCACTTTATTTAATAATCTCTTAATAAAGTGATGTTATCCTAATTTCAACTAATATTCTCACCAGAGTTCTTGGCTAACTAGTGAAGAAAGCATCTCAGGGAAGAGGTCACTTGATATGTGTTTGAAAAGACAGCAACCTTAAAGCAGGGAATCTTCAGAGACTTTATATATATGTGTGTGTGTATAGATATATATCTATACACACACACATATATACATAGATACACACACACACACACACACACACACACACACACACACACACACATCCCAGGAATTACAGCAAGATAGTAGAGTAAGCAGATACCCTGTCCTCCACAACACAGACCCGAGACAGCAAATCAAATAGATACAGAGGACAAACCTGGAACCCAGGGCTTAAAAGGGAAAAAAATGAGTTGAATCAAGGAGGCATATGGAGTGGTGAACTGATGACAGGCTGGCACAATGGGGTCATTCTGAACTATCACAAAAACAGTGTTGCAACTGGGCCAACAGCCAGACCACCAGTTTGGCTCATCCTATACTGCACCAGCACCCACACTGACGAAAGGCAACCACAAGTGTGGTCTCTCTCTCCCTCTACCCGTACAAACTCCCAGTAACCAGAGTCATGTCCCACCCCAAACCCCACTCACTTGACAGTCAAATATGCCCACAACTGCCAGTGCTGCATCATTTCTTTTTGCTTCTTCTTCTTTCCCTTCTTCTTAGTTCTTTCTTTTTCACCTCATTTTTTGCTTCCTTCTTTCCCTACATCCCTTTTTAAAAAATTTGGAATCCCAAAATCTCTGTAGATGTTCATTGAAATGAAAAATAAACAACCTAAATTAAAAAAAAATAATAAAATAAAAAAAAATTTACTGAGTGGCCCTCCTACCTCTGCTGCCTCCTTGGTCAGCAGTACCTGGCCCTGCACCTCTGTGGTAGACAGTGCAATACTGATGCCGCAGTCATATTTCATAGTTACCATTTGCATCAATACTATGCTGAGTTTTCCTCCTTATTTTCCTTTCTTCTTCATTCTTCCCTCTCCCCTATCCCTTGCTTATTTGTTCTTTCTTTTATTTCCTTTTAATTCCATGGACCAAGCACCCTAGCCTCACCACCTCCTTAGTCACCAACACCAACACCTATCTCTGTCCCTCCACAGTTGGAGGTGAGCGCTCCTCCAGAGTGAACACATCATTGCTCCTGAAGCCAAGTTTGGTGGCTAGTCTTTGTGCCAGTGCGGCATCACTTTTTCCTTCTCATTCTTTCTAATTTTCATAGCCCGCCTTTCTTTCCTTCCTTCCTTCCTTCCTTCCTTCCTTCCTTCCTTCCTTCCTTCCTTCCTTCCTTCCTTCCTTCTTTCTTTCCTGTTATTTGCTTTCATTTTTCCTTCCTCTTCCACCAACTTTTGCTATCTTTTTGTTTTTACCTTATGGAATGGGCAGCCTCCACGAGCAGCAGTTCTTATCCCTGCCTCCTCCACAGGAGATAGTGTGTGATACTCTTAGTTTATCCTGCATCCATCGACTTGGATTTCAGGGGTTTGGAGGTTTTCCCCCCTTTATTTTCACTCTTCCTTTTTGTATTTTCACCTATTTGTAAGAAGCCAATGACCCTATCAACCCATACCTGTCACACCTGTTGTTTCTCCCATTTAGTGTCACGACCTGCACCAGCACCACGGGATCTATGACATGTGGTAGGGAAGACTCACCTAGGGTGCCCCCAATGATGCTGCATGACTAGGGATTAGACCAGCAGCCACACTCACAGCTGTTAAGAACTTGACCGAGAAACATATGGTTAGCACTCCAGTGTTGCAAAACTATCAACCAGAGTTTCATGACTGTTATATTTGGATATATTAAAACAAAATAAACCAAAAAATTCAAGGTCAAGTAAATGAAACAATAATCAAAACTTTTAACTATCAACCTCAACACACAAACACAAAAGGACAGCAACACACAGAAAAGGACAAAAATACAGGGTCAGAAAATCTTCTAGAGAATAAAAGCTATTGGGACTGCATGATAAAGATTTTAAAGGAATTATACTCAAGCCCT